ATTTGCTATAATTTGCAGGAGACAGCAAATGATGGAATTTTTTTTTTTTTTTTTTTTTTTTTTTTTTTTTTTTTTTTTTTTTTTTGAGACGGAGTTTCGCTCTTGTTACCCAGGCTGGAGTGCAATGGCTTGATCTCGGCTCACCGCAACCTCCGCCTCCTAGGTTCAGGCAATTCTCCTGCCTCAGCCTCCTGAGTAGCTGGGATTACAGGCACGTGCCACCATGCCCAGCTAATTTTTTTTGTATTTTTAGTAGAGACGGGGTTTCACCATGTTGACCAGTATGGTCTCGATCTCTTGACCTTGTGATCCACCCGCCTCGGCCTCCCAAAGTGCTGGGATTACAGGCTTGAGCCACCGCACCCGGCCCCAAATGATGGAATTTTTAGTGAAAAACCAAGCAAATGTACATGCTGTTGATAGGGTAAGACAGTACAATAGTTCTTGTTTAAAATAAAAACCTGAGTGTTCTAGAGTGGAGTCACTCAAGTCAGAAATATTAATAAGAGTAACATAATTATTGGCATATAGTGAAAAATACACAAATAATCAGGTAGAAAGCAAATGTTTGGACTAAGCAACATAACATATAGTAGGATCCATTTTCTCTTATAATATGGAGTGTTTGTTACTTGTAATCTGATATTTTTAGTATTGTAATCTTTTATTAGCTAAAGGTTTTTGTATTAGTTTTGTTAATTTTTGAAGTGTGGACTTTTAGTTTATGACTACTAGTATTGCCATTATTATTTATTGTTTTCAGGCTGTAGATAGCTTTTATCTGACCCCTAGCTGATGTGAATTACAATATATCAGACTAGGAAAGCAATGGGGAAATCTTCATTTAAATCTTTGCCTACTTTAGATAAATGACCTCAGCACAGTTTCTTGGCCATCAAGGGAGAATATAAGTTAGCAACTTGTATTATGTCGTACCTCAATGGAACAAGAGACTTCCTTGTCCCTTTCTTTTAGCCTTGGCGATAATTTACAAAGATGAACACTTTATAGACACAAGCTAGTCCATGTACATGGTTATTATGTCTACATTGACAGGGAGGATATTAAATTGATAAAGTGTATTAAGTTAGCTGTTTCATAATGACTTTATTAAAGTTCTTGGAGATATTTGTTATTTTAGAATAGCGCTCATCCTTCCTGTACATTATGGTTCATCAAGTATTGTATTTTTCTTCAGCAAAATATTAATGTCTTTACTCAATTTATGTGTGTATGAGATGCAGAAGATTATGCTATTTATCATGGTTTGACAAGGTAACTGTTTGTACTAAAAGGCCAGTTAATACTAAATTGATGTTTAAAATATTGAATCTTATACATTAGGTGAGAGTTCATAGTTTGGTTCAGGTACTTTGAAATAGCAAGAGTTAGTCCACATTTTTAGCTAGAAATCAAGCAGAAGGCTAGAATATTTAGAAGTAGAAGCAAGATTCTTTCAGGACTTTTAAGACCTTTATCCCTAGGGATCTCAATGCGGTTTATTTTATTGTAAGTATAATCCACATGCATCAGACAAAGATAGAGCCACATCTCTGACCTCGTTTTTATTCATTTTTTTTTTTAAATTACATTTTAGGTTTTGGGGTACATGTGGAGAACATGCAAGATTGTTGCATAGGTACACACATAGCAGTGTGATTTGCTACCTTCATCCCCTTCACCTGTATCTGGCATTTCTCCCCATGCTCTCTCTCTCCAACTCCCCACCCTCCACTGTCCCTCCCCTATTTCCCCCCGAGAGACCCCAGTGTGTGATGCTCCCCTCCTTGTATCCATGTGTTCTCATTGTTCAACACCCACCTATGAGTGAGAACATGTGGTGTTTGATTTTCTGTTCTTGCATCAGTTTGCTGAGAATGATGGTTTCCAGGTTCATCCACGTCCCTAGATGGCTGCATAGTATTCCATGGTATATATGTACTACATTTTCCCTGTCCAGTCTATCATCGATGGGCATTTGGGTTGATTCCAGGTCTTTGCTATTGTAAACAGTGCTGCAGTGAACATTCGTGTGCATGTGTCCTTATAATAGAACTATTTATAAACCTCTGGATATATAGCCAGTAATGGGATTGCCGGGTCAAATGGAATTTCCATTTCTAGGTCCTTGAGGAATCACCACACTGTCTTCCACAATGGTTGAACTAATTTACATTCCCACCAACAGTGTAAAAGTGTTTTTATTTCTCCACATCCTCTCCAGATTTTGTTGTCTCCAGATTTTTTAATGATCACCATTCTAACTGGCGTGAGATAGTATCTCAATGTAGTTTTGATTTGCATTTCTCTAATGACCAGTGATGATGAGCATTTTTTCATGTTTGTCGGCCTCACGTATGTCTTCTTTTGTAAAGTGTCTGTTCATATCCTTCACCCACTTTTGAATGGGTTTTTTTTTTTTTGTAAATCTGTTTTAGTTATTTGTAGATTCTGGATAGGCTATCAGCCCTTCGTCAGATGGGTAGATTGCAAAAATTTTTTCCCATTCTGTTGGTTGCCGATTCACTCTAATGACCGTTTCTTTTGCTGTGCAGAAGCTGTGGACTGTGATTAGGTCCCATTTGTCTATTTTAGCTTTTGCTGCCAATGCTTTGGGTGTTTTGGTCATGAAGTCCTTGCCTATGCCTATGCCCTCAATGGTTCTGCCTAGATTTTCTCCTAGAGTTTTTATGGTGTTAGGTCTTATGTTTAAGTGTTTAATCCATCTGGACTTAATTTTAGTGTAAGGTGTCAGGAAGGGGTCCAGTTTCTGCTTTCTGCACATGGCTAGCCAGTTTTCCCAACACCATTTATTAAACAGGGAATCGTTTCCCCATTGCTTGTTTTTGTCAGGTTTGTCAAAGATCGGATGGTTGTAGCTGTGTAGTGTTGCCTCCAAGGCCTCTGTTATGTTCCATTGGTCTATATCTCTGTTTTGGTACCAGTAACGTTGTTTTGATTACTGTAGCCTTGTAGTACAGTTTGAAGTTTGGTAGGGTGATGCCTCCAGCTCCTCCAGCTTCGTTCTTTTTGCTTAGAATTGACTTGGCTATGCAAGCCCTCGTTTGGTTCCATATGAAGTTTAAGGTCGTTTTTTCCAGTTCTGTGAAGGTCATTGGTAGCTTGATGGGGATAGCATTGAATCTGCAAATTACTTCGGGCAGTATGGCCATTTTCACAATATAGATTATTCCTAACCATAAGCCTGGAATGTTTCTCCCATCTGTTTGTGCCATCTCTTATTTTGTAGAGTAGTGGTTGTAGTTCTCCTTGAAGAGTTTTCTTACATTTCTTATTAGTTGTATTCCTAGGTATTTTATTGTCTTTGTAGCAATTGTGAATGGCAGTTCATTCTTGATTTGGCTCTCTTTGTAAATGTCTTATTGGTGTATAGGAATACTTGTGATTTTTGCACATTGATTTTGTATCCTGAGACTTTGCTGAAGTTGCTTATCAGTTTCAGGAGATTTTGGGCTGAGACGATGGGGTCTTGTGAATATACAATCACGTTGTTTGTAAAGAGACAATCTGACTTCCTCCTTTCCTATTTGAATACCCTAGATTTCTTTTTCTTGCCTGATTACTCTGGCTAGAACTTCTAATACCATATTGGATAGGAGTGGTGAGAGAGGGCATTCTTGTCTGGTGCCAGATTTCAAAGGGAATGCTTCCCTTTGTTGCCCATTCAGTATGATATTGGCTGTTGGTTTGTCGTAAATAGCTTTTATTATTTTGAGATACGTTCCATCAATACATTGAGGGTTTTTAACATAAAGGGCTGTTGAATTTTGTCAAAGGCCTTCTCTGCATCAGTTGAGATAATCATGTGGATTTTGTCTTTGTTTCTGTTTATGTGGTGAATTACATTTATAGACTTGCATATGTTGAACCAGCCTTGCATCCCCAGGATGAAGCCTACTTGATCATGGTGGATAAGCTTTTTGATGTGCTTTTGCAATTGGTTTGCCATTATTTTATTGAAATTTTTGCATCTGTGCTCATCATGGATATTTGAGTGAAGTTTTCTTTTTTTGCTGAGTCTCTGCCAGGTTTTGGTATCAGGATGATACTGGTCTCATAAAATGATTTGGGAAGGATTTTATCTTTTTAGATTGTTTGGAATAGTTTCAGAAGCAATGGTACCAGCTCCTCTTTGTATGTCTGGTAGAATTCAGCTGTGAACCCATCTGGAACTGGGCTTTTTTTTGGGTGGTAAGCTCTTAATTGCTGCCTCAACTTCAGTTTTTGTTATTGGTCTATTCAGGGTTTTAACTTCTTCCTGGTTTAAGCTTGGGAAGATGGACGTGTCCAGGAATTTATCTGTTTCTTCCAGGTTTACTAGTTTATGTGCATAGATTTGTTTATAATAATCTCTGATGATCATTTGTATTTCTGTGGAATCTGTGGTGATATCCCCTTTATCATTTTGTGGTGGTGCACATTGGTTATCTCAACACTTTGGGAGGCAGAAGTGAAAGGATTACTTAAGACAAAGAGTTTGGTCTGGGCATGGTGGCTCATGCCTGTAATCCCAGCACTTTGGGAGGCTGAGGTGGGTGGATCTGAGGTCAAGAGATTGAGTCCATCCTGGCCAACATGGTGAAATCCCGTCTCTACTAAAATACAAAAAGAAAAAAAAAAAATTAGCTGGGTGTGGTGGCATATGCCTGTAGTCCCAGCTACTCAGGAGGCTCAGGCTACAGAATTGCTTGAACCCAGGAGGCAGAGGTTGCAGTGAGCTGAGATCATGCCACTGTGTTCCAGCCTGGTGCCTGGTGACAGAACGAGACTGTCTCAAAAAAAAAAAAAGAACAAACCCCACAACACCAGGAATTTGAGACCAGCCTGGGCAATAGAGTGAGACCTTGGTTCTACAAAAACAATAAAAAAGTAGCCTAGCATGACGGCACACAGCTGTAGTTTCTGCTACTCAGGAAGTTGAGATGGGAAGATTGCTTGAGGTCGGGAGGTTGAGATTGCACTGAGCCATAATCATGCCACTACATTCCAGCCATCGGTGACAGAGATCCTGTTTTAAAAAAAGAAAAAAAGTTGGTAAGAAAGTCTTTATGAAACTCATTATAATTTTTTACATGGAAACTCATGCTTGATATTACCTCAGCAGTGTGTCCTTCAGAAACTGTCAGAGCCTTTACCTGGACCTGAAAATGGAAAAACAAAACAAAACAAAAAACGCAGTATAGTCAATGTAAAAGAAGGTAAGAATACTATTTGATTTAAAAAGTCATTTGATGGAATGTTTTATTTTTAAAAAAATAAGAGCACTAATATATTCAAATAGCTAAAGAAAATGTTCTATTAAATGTATAATAAGTAAAGGAGAAGTAAAATGGTGATAAGTTTTATATCTAATCAGGGGTCAGCAGTTGAGTCTATTGAGAGTACCACTAAAGGAGCTGAATTATTAGTTCCCATTTTAAGATTCTCTAAGATCTTAGGAAAATCAGGAAAGAGGGAAGAGGAAATGAATAAAAGAATGAGGAGGGCAGAGTGTACCTGGAATAAATGAAAAAACAGTATGTGGGTGTATGTAAAGGTGGGTAGTAAAGTCAAATTGATTTGTAGAAGAAGGAAGAGCAGAGTGATAGAAGTAGGAAAGAAGGTAATGTCAGCTTCCAGCACCAAAATGTGTCAGAGAATTAAAGTAACATCTTCCTGCTCTTGCTGTCATTCTCACTATTGGAGAGGCATTAAGGATTGAGGTACCTCACCACACAGATCTGTGTTTTATCTACCATAGATGAATATCACCACAGATGGCCAGCCATGTATGGCCATAATTTAGTTTTATAGAAAATGTTATAACTTCATCGGATAGTATCATATAGGCCAAATTAACATAATTGAATAGTTATGTGATTTATGGAGAGGAAGTTAGAGAAGGTATAGCCTGATTAAAAGTGTATTAGAAACATTATGGCTTATAATGCAGAATTAAATTCAGGGACTTAATAGGGAAGAAACTGAGGCTAAGTTCTAGATGGGCAATTAAGGTAAACAAATGTGGAAGCACATTAGTGTAGAACAGGGCATCCAAATTTTCATGAATTAGTTGACGAGCTTCTGGAAAATGGACATTCTCATTCAGCACGTGTGGGATTCTGCCCTTCTCAGGAGTACTCAGGTGGTGTTGGTGCTGTTCCTTGTACACAGCTCTGAATAACAAGGAAATAGCCTTACTTTAGAGAAATCTAGAAAAAGAACCATTGAACAGCAATTTAAAAAAATAACAGAATCAAGGGAAGGCATTAATCTTTTATTTCTGAAGCAGTATTCTAGCCACAGAGGAAGCAGAATGAGATGAAAACAGAAATTGTTGGTGTATACTACTGCTGAATACGTATGAAAAAAATGGTTGCAATTATCCATAAAAAGCAGTTAGGAAGAGAAGCATCGGGATGACAGATCTAAAGATTACTTTTGCAAAGGAAGAGGGATTGTGAAAGGGCAAGGAAAGGGGAAGAAAAAAATGTTTGTTGGGGGACTTTGGAGTCAAAACCAAGGAAGCTTGAGACACCTTACTTCCAGTTCCTTGGACATATACCCAGTCTAGCAAAAACAGTTATTGCTGTGGAGAGAACTGGAGGCAGGAGGGAGTGCTAGAATTGGGATAAATCACAACAGCTAATTTCTCTTCATAATTGTCAGGCCTCAGAGCAAGAAGTTTCATTGACATGAGTGAATAAGATGTGGTTAAGTTGTATTTTGACTAATTTTTTGGGGGGTCAGCCAGTTCTTTGATACGATAGCTGTTTTATAAAAGTCATTTACAGAGTAAGATGACATGCCAAACTTAGCTAATTTTAGAAGCAGTCATATTATAAAATTTATTCTGTGAGTACACTGCACTGATCTTGAAACATGGAAGTTTATTCTTTTCTATGAACACTGTGGCAATTCAATGTTTTCTCTTTTGATAAGTATTTTGATATTGAAATCTTATTCTGTATGGTTTATTTGATATGTTTTAAGTCTTGCATGAGTGGATCAAGGAACTCTTAAGAAAAGGTCAAACGAGAGAATATGAGAAATGTAGGTGCTTCAGTAGCCACATGGGCATGGGAAAATTAGAATTTTGAGAAACTGTTATTTCATAAGTGTATGTCATTGCTGATCAATTTAGAACACTTTCTTTGATAAGAGGTGAATCACACATTCATCTGAACTGGCATCCCAACGGTGTATTACCTAAGTGACAGGACAAGGGGAAGCACATGATAAGTATTTGTGGTGTTCTGGTATGAATGCCTCTGATGTTTCAAGTTTAAAAACTCTGTAGCATTCACCATCAGCCTTGACATTGATTCTCTCATGTTATGATTTGCTCTACTGTTTAATGGTCCCTTTTATTCTTATCAGCCCAATGTGTTCACATTAATATCCATATTTTTCTACAGGCATTTGAAGCAATCTCACTTTTGAAATACAAACTTTGTGACTTAGGGATCCTATATTCCTATTTTACTCAATGTATTTCCATCACATTGCTGTCCTAGGCAATGAAAAGAAGATGCCAAAAAGAACCCTCAGAACCTTAATAATTATTTTCATACCCAGGCATGAGGACTCAGCTTGATTACACTGCATGAATGTTTGGTTGGCCTGGTCATACCTACATACAATTGATGACATGTCCCCTTTGCTTTGTAGGGCCTCCTGAATAACATCCTTCCTTGAAGGTAATTATATGTATTTATTTTTAATTACTAACTTTATATTGTATAAAATATATATGACTTATTAGTTATTTTCTTTTAAAACTCATTCAGCCTACCACTGAAATGGAAGATCCTATTGTGAGAGAAGCAGTACAAAGAAAGAATGTACAGGTATCAATAGCAGGTACATTTCCAATACAAATGGAATGCTGAAAATAAGTACATTAAATGACTGGAAGTAGTCACATTCTTCTTACTCTTAATTCTTTATGTTCTAAACTGAATGAAAGGCATTGGCATAAATGTTATTGTTGGTATCCATATTTCAATAAAAATAAATTTAGAAGAAAGCAAAATTTTAATAGGAGTTTTTTTTTTTTTTTTTTTTTTTTAGACGGAGTTTTGCTCTTGTTACCCAGGCTGGAGTGCAATGGCGCGATCTCGGCTCACTGCAACCTCCGCCTCCTGAGTTCAGGCAATTCTCCTGCCTCAGCCTCCTGAGTAGGTGGGATTACAGGCACGTGCCACCATGCCCAGCTAATTTTTGTATTTTTAGTAGAGACAGGGTTTCACCATGTTGACCAGGATGGTCTCGATCTCTTGACCTCGTGATCCACCTGCCTCGGCCTCCCAAAGTGCTGGGATTACAGGCTTGAGCCACTGTGCCCGGCCAAGAATAGGAGTTTTAACTCAGATGTTTCTATTTTAATATTTTGAATAGCATAACACTTCCAATATGGAATTTTTATACTTGTCAGGGATTCAAAGTAGTGAAGTTTGAGACTCTGAGATATTTCCAGTGTCTTATGTGCTAGTTGGAGTTCTGGTGTTTACCTAAAAGAATGCTTTACTTAGATGTCAGTTTCTGTCTAACGTTAGAGACTTCCTGTTAATGTTATTACATTGATGATCGAAGCCAATGAGATGTTCTAATGAGCACACTGTGTATGCTTGTGTGTGTATGTATGGGTGTGTATATGTGTGTTTTTGTGGCATCTCTGATTATTAAAAACTAGGAAAGTAATCATTCATAACTGGAGGACAGTCTTTAAAAATGGTGGAGACTTTTTGGTATAAACGTTTTTTAAAAAAATAATTGCATACAAGCAACCAACATCATGAACATCATCGAAGCTACCAGTATCACTGGCTGTTTTCCATTTTGATACGCTTTTGAAATCCTTAACTATATTATGATGCTCTGAAATAATATGCAGAATTTTTATGTGTCCTAAAATGGAAGGTGAGTGGTTCTACACTTCACATATCTTTCTGCCACTTTGTTTACTTTGTATTGTTTTCTAGATGTATCCACCCTGATATGATTAGCTCTGGTTTAATTCATTTTATACTTTTCATTGTATTCCCTTATACCACTCTACCACATTTAATTAGACTCTCCTATTCCTGATAAATGAAGAAAGAAAAAAAAGATAAAGAAAAATAGTCTAGGCACGGTGGCTCACACCTGTGATCCCAGCATTTTGGGAGGCTCAGGCAGGTGGGTCATGAGGTAGGGAGATCGAGATGATCCTGGCCAACATGGTGAAACCCCATCTCTATTAAAATATAAAAAATTAGCTGGGCATGGTGGTGCATGTCTGTAGTCCCAGCTATATGGGAGGCTAGGACACAAAAATCGTTTGAACCCGGGAAGCGGAGGTTGCAGTGAGCCAAAATTGTGCCACTGCACTCCAGTCTGGCAGCAGAGCAAGACTCTGTCTCAAAAAATGAAAAGGAAAAATAATGTCAGATTAAAAGGGGCTTTTTGTTTAATCAGTTTGTATCTGAATATTTACTATATGAGAGTTTAAGGCTGAGAAGTTCAGAATGCAAGCATGCACCACCATATTTTACAAATGCCCTTAGAATTATGACTCATGAGCCTTTAGCCTATGAAGTTATGACAATTCATTTCTCTTAAGAAGTTTACTGTTCTCTCTTAAAAGAAAAAAAAAAAAAAAAAAAACAAGACCGAAAATACCAAATGACATTGTCTTATTTGACCTCTTGGACATCCTCGAATGAAACTGCAACTTACGTCAAAATTCAGAATCGAAGTTTTGAACAATACATAGTTTGTTAATGTCTGATGATCATGAGCCCTTGATAATGAAATGGCCTTTCAAATTTTACTTTTGCATTTTTTGCTCTTTTTCTTGACTTACAAAACCTTAAGTTGAACAGTTTTGTTTCTGCAGAAAGCAGGAATATACTTTTTAAATATATTTCTGTCCTGTCTCATGGCATTGAGAATGCTTCAGATCTAGTGTGGACCGAGACTTATTTTTACATGGGAACAATTAGGTTTGTTTCTTTGTTGTTGTTGAGACAGTCTTGTTCTGTGATGTGGTTCAGACTGGGTAAGTTCTTAAAGCAGTAATTTTTTCAGCGGTTTTTTTCTGTGGGAGGTAAAATGACAGGTGAATTTGGGCCTTGTTATATGTAGGGCAGAGCACACAGCTACAATTAAGTAAAACAGC